GTCATTTATCCTCAGCCTGGCTTTAGCATTTTCCTTCCTGAAAGTCCAATGGTAACAAATTCTTTTTATTTTTCTTTCATCTTAAAATGGTGGCTTTTGCCTTCGTGCTTCTTGATGAGAAAAAATAACCAGCCCAAGGCACCGCTATGAAGTTGATTACAACTCACAGTGGTTCTCTTATGTAGGGTAGAATAGGACTGCCCCGGAGGTTACTGAGCAGCCATCCTTCAAAATAGGTTGATGTGCATTTAACCTTTTTTGAATGATTTTCATTTGATTTTGTTACTAATGCTTTGTGAACTGTCTGAAATAAATAAAGTTTATTTTAAGGGAGCCTTAGCCGTGCAGTGGTTAAGTGAAAGGTAACTGAAAGGCCGGCAGTTCAAACCCACGAGCTGCTCCATGGGAGAGAAGGATGTGGCACTTGGCCCTGGAAACCTCTACTGTCTTATATGGTTGCTATCGGTCAGAATTTGGGTTTAATTTTGTACCTGTGGCTATAATCCCATTTGGGAATGTGTTTTCTTTGTTATCTTAATGAGGCATTATTAGTGTAGCGTATTTCTTGAAGCAATCTCTTGAGATATGAAAGAGCAGATTAAGCAGGCAGGCACCCATGCCCAGGAAGAGGCACCCTACTCAATTGGTACGGAACTTGAGAACAGATGCTGAAAAGACAAGGACCCTCCCCCCAGAGAGAAAGCCTTCTCGCCAGAGCCAGTGCTTTGAATCTAGAATTCTAGCCTACCAACCTCTGAGAACATACCTTTCTGTTATAGCTACCCTCTGTGGCGTCCCTGTGATACAACAATAGGTGTGTTTTAGAGAAATCACCATGGTTTTGTGTTAACTGTATGAGAACTTCCATTTTTCTGTGTGTGTCTCCCTCCAAAAGGCCAAGTTAGTTAGGTTTAACCTTTCTCTGTAAATTGATTTCAGAAAAAGTAAAACTGCCCTCCTCAGATTTCATATTGTAAAAGGGCAGCTGGCTTAACCCACAGAAGGTTAATATTGTGTTTTCGATTCAGTCACTCATCAGAATGGCTTGAAAACCCACTTGGATTTTAACATTTTACAGTCAGGTTTCAGATGGATGCCAGGTTTTTTTTTTAAAACGTTCAGCTTCCTATATTTTTACCAACAGAATTCATTCAGAACAAAGAACTATAAGAACTTTGTTTTAAAAATTCTGCTGTTACAATTATTAGCTTGTGTGCAGTTTTAATCATAGGAGACTTAAGCTAGGAACCAAGACTAGTGTACTCTTTTCTCTGAAAATTTAAAGTGTAGGCCCTTATAGACCAAGTGGAGTGTTAATCCTATTCATTGCTTAGAACAAAAGGGGCACGCTTCAACAAGCTTATGGATTCAAAGCAGCA